CATTAAATATAAATATTAATCAAAAACCTACTATGTTATAATTAAAATCTTTCCTCCGAAGGCTGTTTCTGATTTTGATACTGTGTAGATTTAAAGGAATACGGCTTACATTATGTCTTTCTTTTCTTTTTCATTCTTTTAAGACCTGTTTTAACACATTTTAATCTGTTTTTAATCACTGTTATTGTTTGTTTATATTTTCTTATACTTGTCTCTTTTATTCCTGTTCATGTAAAGCACTTTGAGTTGCCACTGTGTAATAAATGTGCTTTATAAATAAACTTGCCTTGGCTTTGTGTTTACTCACCATCACCATTTATTCAGAACTTTTTTCTAAAAATGAACATTTGCTGTTAACTTACTCTAAGGCCATCTAAGATGTAGTTGGCTTTTTATTTAGTAGAATAGTAAAGAAGATTTATGTTGCGATTTATGCATTGAGTAAATTAATTCAGCATTTTTTCTAATATTTCACGATCTATTCCTTTAATATTTCCTTAGATCAAGGAAAAAAGTAATGGAAATATGAGGGAGATAAATTATGAGGCAATTGTAGTTTTGAGAGAACTTGAACTGGAGTTTTTAAACTTTGAGGGAATAATAAGTGAAAGAATTGTAAAATGACAGATATGATTTAGCAAATGCATACATTTCACAAAAAAATACATCTAAGAGTGCAGAACTATAGTAGTATACTCGAATATTTACATTTTAGAAATTGGCGTAGAAACTAATTTTACTCTGAAAATGAGTAATGTTAATATTGGATGTCATTTTCTTGCAAATTATACTGTAATAGTCTACTTACACAGTAAACGTTTTAAGATGGTGGTTCCTTTTCTCAGTAGTATTATGGTATAAATTCTGACGGTATGATAACCTTGGAAACAAATATCACGGTTTCACAGTATTGTGATTACTGCTCTAAAAAAAAACAATCATTTTTTCCCCTTTAAACAAAATATATTTTATTTTGAGAAACATGTAAAGTATTTTGGAGCAGTAAACATGTCAGGCTAAAGAATTTAAATGAATCATTGACTTCTGCTGTCTTTATCAGTTTCAAAAACACAGATTCCTTTACAATTTAAAATGGCATCTTTTGATATCTTCTCTGCTGGAGATACTGTTGTCCTAAAAAAATGTAAATAAAAAAATCTTACACACCTTAGGAATGATTATAACAGAAAATTTTGGCGGTTTTAAAACCTTGACTTTTCCAAACCGCGGTATACCTTGAAAACGGTTATCGCCCTATGCCTAATGGAGTCCATGCCCAGCAAACAATTTTGTGATTAATAGACGTCTAATAGACATCTAAACTAAGACAGTTTGGCTAAAACAAGGCTGAACTTGGGCTGTCAGTAAAAATCTAAAAGACATCTAAGAATAGCCCAAAACTAGACAGATTAGACAGACTTTACATCTGTAGTCAGTTATTTCTGTTAATTTGATTACTAGTTTTGGCTTGTTCTTAGACGCAAGGGCGTAGCGGACGTTTTAAAACTGGGGGGGACAGCTGTATGAGATCCAAAAGTTTACATTCATATAATTATTAATCACCTATTTCTAAATGGTCTGTCTCTAAAATAGCCTCTGCTAGACGGCTATTCGATTTATTACTAGACAGTCCAAATGTAGCCTTGTTTTAGCCAAGACGACTATGTTTAGACGTCTTTTAGACATCTTTTTAAAACAAAAAAATGCTTACTATGTGGCTTCTAGAAAGAGAAAACTCCTGAACTATTCCTTGATAATTGCCTATTTAATGCCACCAAACAGCAGGGGACAGTCTATTGGGCCAACAATAACGACACTTATCGTCTATATGCACGTTATCCGACAGCTGTGCGTCCATGACCGGCCTCACGCCTGCTCTGTGGACGGCATCTCCGTGACTACCTGCCTCTGTGTTTATCTCGCAGCTGGACATGAATAAAACATGAGGACACAAGGCTCCTCTGTTCCCACTACAAAGCCCTGTCAACGTCTCATCACACACACACATACCCATGCTCACACTGTAAATGTCTTAATGTGGACAGTCTGAACCAAAAGAAGCAGCTCGTGCCTTGATAGCGAAGATGTGGGACTTCATTACATAAAGGCTGGGATGCTTAATGGTCATTGGGCGGCTGCCATTAGTGTTTCCATCCTATGTTCATTCTCCTCAGACTTTTAATCACAAGGGAGTGTTTAGATATTGACCGCAAGTGCTGTTCAAGGCCACTCACTTGTTGTATCCTTGTATCTTTATCTGACTGTCACAGTTGTGTTCTCACTGGCAAAATGGCACATTCGCCTCTTATCTGGCTGCCTGGCGGATGAAGAATTAAATGTTTGTTCAGCTGAACTGACACGACAAAACAATACAACTAACGGCTGATCTGTAAACATCTCGGCTACAGGGAAAGCTTGCAACATCTGACATATTTCCATAGCTTTGAATTGATTGTGCACAGTCTGTATTTACTGAGCAAACGGCGTTCGGGAGCAGTGACATGTTTCCATTCTGCAGATCTATCCACAAACCACCATTTCTGACACCCATCACCTTTCCCCAATCAATACATTGACCTTAATGTTGTTCAGAGAGGTTGTACATCCACAAACAGGTAGGCAACAAAAAATAAATTAATGGAGGGAGGGGGGGGGGAGGAGAAATAACGGCGCTTTCTCTGTTGAATTAAAATGTCTGTGGAGGCCACCTGCATGAATTGTCTCGTTAATTAGGCGTATCCAATCCGGATCTATGACACGCACAAATATCGATACCTCATTATTCCTGGTTTAGAGCGGCTCGCTGTAAATTTTTCGTTTGCTGTCTGTCTCTCTCTCTGTGCCGTCGCCAGTACAATGGGCGACAATGACATCTAAGAAAATACGAAATAAAAGACCAGCGAGTGATTATATGAATATCTGAATAACATTACCTATTCGCGTTCTTCTCGGATGCTGTGAACTCTGGCCCCGAGAGGGGAGAATCATGGAGCTCAATCACATCCACCGCAGCTTCCCCGAGCCGCATCCGCACGTCAAAACACCCCCGTATCTTTCTTGGAGCGGTGTTTGATTCGTGAGCGGATGATTCATTTGAGTCGACTCTGTTGAACAAATCAGATGGATCGAATATTATAACTGGTCTGCACAATTCGGTCATGAGTCCGTCCGAGCGACTCTCGTAGCACAGACTGCCCGACTCACTGAACGGAGAACCGAGAGTCCTTGTCGGGATTTTTCCATTAGGATCCATTTAGAGGGAACATTTAATTTTAGCTCGTGAGTGTGCAAGTAATGTAACTTGACTAATGACTTTTGTCAACAACAGCAGCAGTGGTCACGTTTATTTTTAAAGCATGTGATTGTAAATAGTTATTTTATTCATTTATTTATTTAGTTTTTTATTGGTCTGTTTATTATAAATACAAATTATCTTTAGGGTACAATTATGGACCTTGAAATAAAAACTGTTTATTACAGCCAATAACAGCTAATAATACACTACTTATAATACATGAATTTATATATATATATACAGCGGAATGAACCACCAACTTCTCTAGCCACAACCCATCACTGAAAAACACACACCCTCATTCACTATGGTTAATTTTAGCATACCATTTCACCTGTACAGCATGCCTTTGGACTGTGGGGGAAGCCGGAGCACCCAGAGCAAACGCAACATGAAGAGAACATGCAAACTCCGCACAGAAATGCCATCTGACCCAGCTGAAGCTCGAACCAGCAAACTTCTTGCTGTGGGGTGAACGTGCAACCCACTGCGCCACCCAGTGACTTCTCAACAACAACCAAATATAAGTAACTTGGGAAAACAAATATAATTTTTTTCCTCTGAATGCATTTCTGTTTTTAGTGAATCTAAACTTATATTTAAATACATTTAATTTAAATAAATATCTAAAGAAAAAAAACATTAATTAAATAGTAATTATTGCTCACAAGTGACTTAGAATTAAGATATTTGATCAAGTTTTTTTTAATTATAAGCATTAAAACATAACACTATGTATTAATAAAAATTCAGACACAAACTATATCCAAGACCATTACAATAAGTGCAAAAAGCCACATCCAGAAATAATATTAAAACAAAAACATAACAAGTAAAAATATTAAATTAAATATAACTAGTAATAAAAAAAAAAGATTGGCACACAATCAGACTACAGTGAGGGATCAGTACCAGAAAAAAAAACTTCATGAAATCTAACATCAAGTCATTTTTTTGTTATTAATTTGCATTAGAAACTTTTTCAAAGTTTCCATTTCTAATAAAAATTAATAGCATTTTGGTATACACTTCGCAAACTTCTGTTTATGAATAAAATATTAACCTTGTAGCATGTAAAAATTAACAACATACCAACATACTCTAATGAGTGTGTGTGTGTGTGTGTGTGTGTGTGTGTGCGTGCGTGCGTGCGTGCGTGCGTGTGTGTGTGTGTAAAGAGCAAATACAATCTTTTAACATGTATTTGCCCAAATAACACGTCACTAACATCATACTAAAATGTAAGAGACATCACAGTTATAGAAAAGATGTGATAAGTGTGCAAGTATTGTCAACATTCATGTATTTAGATAAGATAAAAAGAGATTAATTGATTTATTTATTATTTTATTTATTATTTTTTTATTATTATTAAACAGCAGCAAATATACAATTTAAACATGACATCCAAAACTACAAATGTAACCTATAACATAAAATAAACTAAAATATAAATTACATAAGTTAAATAAATAAAAAGACTGTAAAGATATTATGTCATGTAATGCGCTTTGGGATCATGTAATGACGTAAAGAACCGTCGGAACATGTTGAACTGTTCCATTCAGAGCTGCTGTTCAAATGAACCATTTGATGAAATGACTCTGATTTTTTCACTACCGTTCGTTTGACAGGCTGCAGACGGCGCTGTTAGTCGAATATCAGTTGTGACCATCGAGATGCCTGATTAAAGTGCGATCGTAAAACCTATTATTAAGTCAAATAATAAACTAAAATAGACTGTTTAAATGTACGTACTTTTTGTTCCAAGTGCAGATAGTTTCTACATTTTTAGTTTGAATTTTACTGTCTGCTCACTTCCGCAAATTTAGTCAAAACTAAGATGGTCAAGCGGACCGGGGTCCTAAATTGGGTCCTCGAGAATAGTAAACACTAACGTTACTGGTTAGCAAGCTGGAACAAGCTATAAATTAACAGTGACTGCGGTTTAAGGTTAATTAGATCATGGAAGACAGTGAACTGGAAAGGTATGATATTTCTAAATGTCAATTTTCCCCCTTTTGACCAGTTTATTGGACTAGTTTACGATGCAGAATATGCTAACGCCCTCGGCTTCGTGCAAATTGGTCAGTAAATTTGTGTAAACCAAAACCTGAGACGAAGCACCATACTTTTGTTATATAGCAAACATTTCGGTATCCTAGAAAAGTCTATTTTGCACCGTCAGAGATTTAAACGTGCTATTTAATTTGGGGTCACGGTAATACATAAATTAACCCGTTTCTGTCGTCAAATGTCTCACTGTAAATAATTTCCCCAGAAAAGCAGTGGAGGAGCTCCTTAAAGAAGCGAACAGAGCAAAAGCCCGTGTCGAGACAATGGGTCCTGCTGGATGGTAAGTTTGGATCACTAAATTGATAAATTACAGATATTTAAAGTGACCAATTTGAAGTCTTTTTCTATTATTAGTAACCACTATTGCCCCCACTCTTTTACACACACGCGCACACACACAAGGGTGTAACTTTGGTTTTCGGATGTGAACTTAAACCTGTGTATGTATATATACAGTACTGAGTACACCCCTTAAAGATCTGTATTTTAAATTAATATGTAGTATAAAATGCTTTACAGTAATGCATTTTGCACAAACTCTTTAGATTTTAAGGTACAAAAGCCAAAACTGTGACTAATCAAATATGCTTTTCACAATAATCAATATATCGACTTATCGCACAACACATTGACATGACATCTATCATTTTTGGTGATGTAATATATATTGCCCATATATAAAAGTCAATTCTAGCAACATTTTAGCTGATGGTGCAACCTCTTTATGTTACTGTAGTATATTTTCATGCAGGTGTCTGACAACTGAAAATAGATCTGGTAGCAGATCTTGCAGCCTCTGTTACTTTTTACATTGCACTTTTTACTACTATTTATTCAGGATATGTGTTTTCACATGCTGATTCCCCTGCCTCATTATTAAAGTTAAAATGACTATAAATTAAATGAAACATCCTTAAGAATAAAATATTATGTGGTCTTTAGAAGAGTGTACTTGCATTTTGATGTTATTATATTGTCATTTTGGCATTATATAATAAGTGGCATAAAATGGTCTCAAAATGACAATATTGTTCATCATAATATATGTTGGTGCAATATATCATACAAGAAAAAATAGATATTATGACAAGCTTATAATTAAAAAAAACTATTTAAGATCACAGTGCAAAAATCAGTACACCTTAATTAATATACTGGGGGAAAATATTAAATAATATATTAATAAACGGGAAAAATACTTTTTTTTTTTTTTTTTGCAAAAACTTGTTTGATTGTAAGTGTATTATTTTCTATCCTCGAAGGTGTTAAATGACTGAACCATATAACTGTTCTGTTTAAATAAACCAAAGATGATTGGCTGTATTCATTGGAAAATGGCTAGAAGAAATATTTATTTTTAATTGGGTGTAATCGTTTTTACTGGTGTTTTTACGGGAGAATCTTGTGGGAGTGCGGTAACAAAAGTGTCAAATGACTAATAATTGTAGAACATTTGAGCTGGCTTCAGTCCTTAGTTCTTTCATTTTCCTTTTCATTTTATTAAAATATATGTATTTAACTTGTTTGTTAATTAAATACAGTTCTGTCATTTAACCTATTATTTTTATGCAACAGTCAAGTTGCATGCTAATTTGCTCTGTGAAGGTTACGCGATTTATGTTTAAAATGTTGGTTATCGTCCTCCAAATCAAAAGATGTATGTACAGTATGTATGTATGTATAGACATTTACATTAGATGTTGCCTACGCTTTTTTCATCTATTGAAAGGAATTTGTCGATAGAGTCGCCATTTTAGTACAGGGTAGCGCTTCTTTAAAATGAATGTGGGTTCAAGGTGCAGCGGAGGACTGGCCATCCATATATACACATATACACATTTATTTACGATCGGGGGGTTTTCCATTGGTCAGTATGCAAATATTTTATGAAATTACAAAAATTATAAGTTTACATCACTTTTCTATATTGATGGATAAATGATTGCATGGGCATTCCTGGCAAAGAGTGTGTGATTGTGTGCATGGAAATGTATTATCTACCCTCCCTGTTTAATTTGATCTAATTCATGTCCTTAAACACACCCCCTCTCCTGCTTTCACTTTTCATTCCAACGGAGGGAGGGATTCGTTTGTGAATGAATCTCTGTTAAGAAGGACTTGATCACTTAGTTGACAATAATACAAGTTTTCACAGCAGCACCTTCTTGTTATATTTCATTTACATTGTTATCTCATTTTATTCAACAAAACTAGCATAAGTCTAGAATTGAGTGCCAGTTTGTAACATACAAAAACATAAAAAACGAAATCTTACCTATGAAATGTTCTGCCTTTGTGCTTGGTTTTCTTTGTTTGCTTGTTACTACACCCGTAAGCAGTGCTAAAGTCCAGCATCTTCACATTGGCTTTAGTCTTGATTAGTGCAGTTGAATGATGTCCTGGGAGCACTGTACAAATGTGGCGGCGCAATTGACGCATGCTCAGGAACCATATGCGATAGTGTATATATCTATGGAATGTATGTATGTATGTATGTATGTATGTATGTGTGTAATTAACTACTATATATGTCTCCTAAAGCTGCTTAAATTGCCGTTTTGTTTTAGGATGAAATGTCCACTGGGAAGCACAAACAAGCGCTTTCTCCTCAACACTCTTCGTTCCTCTGCCCTGACGCGCCAACCAACAAATCCACGCACATCTGAAAGAGGAGGAGATGAACATAGGTACAACAGAGCTTGTGAAAAACATCGTAACACAGACTGTGAAAAATGCAAACACAAAAAAGACAGCTCACACAGAAGACACTACTCTGATTCCCATTCTCACACTTCAAAACGCCACTCTTCCTCACGCAGTCATTCATCATCCCGAAGCCACTCCCCTTCCATCTCTCGGACGTCAAATAGGACTCGATCTCGCTCACCAGCGAGGGACAGTTCTCCAGATGTCAAAAAATACACTGACAAAAGAAAAAAATGAGGCACCTTTGGGGATTTTTATTTTTTTTATTTGTTAGCATATCAGTCTAAATAGTTTCATTATCTAAAATGAAGCCATTATTCTAATGTCAATTTTCTTTTATTTTGCTGAACAAGTCAAATTAAAACTGCTGTGTAAAATCGATATTTTATAAACCCGGTTACTGGAGCGTTTTCATACAATCAAAATAATAACTTAAACTTAATTTAATAGAGGGCACAATTTCCCTCCAATAAATTTGTTTAGCACCAACTAAAAATAAAACTTTTTACACAGTTTAATGTAGTTGAGTTGGTCCAATATGATTTGACCAAATAAAAGTTTAAATACATTTGTATTTTTATTTAATTTGAACTCAAAGGTCTAATAAGACTATGTATATCTTTTATGTGTCATACATTTTGAAGTCTCTTAGTTTTTTTTACAGTTATCCTAAATTAATTAAAAGAGCCATTTTAAGCACATTTCATGAGTTACATATACAGTTGATTGAGACTGATCTCAGAACTAATTTTAGGACAGTTATTACTCACTGAGCAAAGCAACAAACTGCATTTTTGATTATTAAGCTCCCAACACCCAAAGCATGGGTGCTTTTTGTGTTAATCTCAAACCTTAAAGCATTACATGAAAATCTTCTAAATCTTCAAACTAAAGTAAAGATTAAACTCTAAAAAGTATTTCTATTAACTTTAAACATCTACTTTTATTGTCAACATTTCCCACTCTTAATTCAATCCCATGCACGCAAAGCATGCTGGAAACTACAAATACCCTAACCATGTAGTTGGACCAACACAATTCCTTTATTTTGTCCCAAGGCAAAACGCTCAAGTTAACTTAATGGTTTACAAATTAAGTGCACTGAACATTAAACAAATAAATTGGCCAAAGAAATTACAGGAATTGTGTTGTTTCAGCTCATTTTAAACTGGTAGTTTGGACAAGCAGCAGTAATAATTTTTTGTGTACATTGTTTTGTGAATGGTGACATTTCTTTGTCTGTCGGTATAAATATGTAGATGGATGGATAAATCAATTTTAAACGTAATCAGCAATAAACGTAATTATCATACAGTAATTACTTCGGCATATGTGAGCAATATATTCTAGTTTGTCAGTCTTTATTATGGAATATCTGTTTCAAATTAACGTTTGTGCAATAAACACTAGTGTCTGTCTGTGGGCGATGTTTCTGTCATTTTCTTTCCAGTCTGTGGTGCCAAAATAGGCTACTTGATTTATTGCTTCTGAAGTTTTCCACAATGGCCGACTTTGCTTTAAGTTAAAAATCCATTATTAGTCTTTTGACGTGTTTGCCCAAGCTTTGCTGTCGCCACTAAGCAAGCACTTTTTATCATGCTTTGTTCTCTGTCATAACTCGTTTTTTACTGTAGAATCTGAAAGTAAAAAGCTATATGTTTCCAATTATACTTCTTAAAAAACTATTAAAACTCGTTTTTTAACGATGCATCTTGTGGGTGTATGCCACTGGGTTTATCAACAATCTGATTACGTGTGGTTTTACATAACGCAATTTTATGATTTATCTCCATTATCGAGACGCACTTGGACGTTTATAGCCACACATTACTCCTACTCAAACACACAAGTGGTTTCAGAACGCTTTTGCGTGTCTTTTAACTGGTTTATTGCATTTTATCTGAAGTCTCGAAATGCATTTTAATTGCCAGCCGATTTTATGTACCAGTGCTTTAAGTTGTGCATTTCCTCTATGCCATGGCAAATCTACATTACATATCACTTTACACCATTATTCCTCTCAAAACCTTCCATGGATATGCTTCTAAATTGCGTCGTCTCACTCATGCTTCATAAAACCTTTTGTGCTCTTTCAACATTGTAAAAATAGTCGCGGATAACGGTTTCCTTTTCTTTTCAAGCGAGGTCATATATAAACACCATTAACAGTCGTTACGAGGCTTGATTTGCGAGGAATGGATTTGCCTGAACTTTATGATGGCGCATGAGAGCCCCATTAAGATAGGAGAGAACGTGCTGTTATTGTCATTTGAAGAGGTTCGTGCAAACACAACGCTATGTCATAATCTGGATTACTTGAATTTGGCGTGAATGTATTGCATTTTTAAAAATATTTTGTAAAAAAAAAAAGAAGAAGAAGAAAACGCTAAGCTTTTTGGATTCGTTCCAAGCTCCAGATTCCATTTATTTTACATGTAAATGTGGATGACTGGAGAGTTGGGTCTAATGTTCAAAATATGTGTTTCCCGTTTTGAAGAAGCTAAATTCAACATTCTTAAGCTTGAGGAAAATATAAAAAGCTTTATTTTGAATATTTCTAAAATGAATGATTGTATTTTATAAGCATTTAATACTGAGGGAACTTTTCAAACTGACATTTTCACCCTGTCCTCTCGAGCTTGCATGGTGCCGCACACGTTGTACACACATCTCAAACTAATTGAGTTTTGTTGAACTCTCCATGTTAATTCGGTTACACCGAACAGCTTGTTTTTATTTAACCACGAGGACTTTAGTTTAATGGACCGTAGATGGGTGTGCTTAATGGCAAGTGAGCTTAGTTGAAGCAAAAGACGGACAACATGTTAGGTGTTCATAGATTTTACGTAACAGTGAGTTAATGGGAACTCTTAACAAGATAAATATCACAATTTTGGCGCCACGTGATGTTGGGTTAACGCAATTTGATAATATACTTTTTTTGACCAACAAAAACTGATTTGTGCATGTATAGTGTGAAAATTGGCTATATAATAAAGAGATAATACAAATTTTAAAAATCCCATTTTATTGCCACCTTCCCTTTCCTACGCAAAATGACGCAAATTGTGTGCGCACCTTCCGTTAAATTGCGTATTCAGTGAAATGTTTTTGAGACGAGGTGGCTTCATCCAGTTTTAAAATAAATGCATTAGAATCTATTACTTTCAGCAGCAATATTACAGACGTGGTAAATATCACCATGAAAGAATGATAATCTAAAGGAGCAGAACACTGAACTCGAAGAACTGTTGCTGCAGTTTTATGAAGTTTTACCATGACAGCAATGCCAAAAATACCAAGTTATTTATTTTTTTTTTTTTAAATTGGCGTTTCTCAAACTGAAAGTGCAACACATAATTCTAAAGCCAGTAGGCACTAAATATAACCTGTTGAATGAATTGGCTCGTATATTTTCTGATAAGTGCAAATACGCGATCAGAATGATTTTGCTATTTTTTCTTTTCTTTAGGGAAAAAACACTCAAACTGGACCGTGTATCTTGCTATCACTGGCTTTGTCTTAATCTGCTTTACCAATCAAAACTCAAATCGGTCTGAATAACGTTTTAAAATCCTCCAAATACAAAAGAAAAGTAATGCCAAAAATGTGTTTCCAAAGAACCTTCAACTGATCTATTCTTAATTCTAATAAAATATTGTTTCTTAGTGTAAACTTTTTTTGTTATTAAAACCTTATAATGAATCGTGTTTAACGAAACTGTTCCAATGTTAGTCTTCTTGAGCTATTTAATTCATTTATTTTTTAGGAGTCATGTTGAGAAGAAGACAATTTAAAACACTCACGTAAACCTTATTTTATTTGCTTTTTATATTTAATATGTCGAAGCACCTTGGTTTTTTCTTTTGTTTTGCCGTTTAAGTGGTCAATAGTGACAGCGTTTCCCCCGGAGAGTCAAGAGACTATTCCGATTCACCTGTCTTTGCAGTACCCAAGAACTGCAGGTGTAGCACATACAGTCGCAGGTAAACAGAACATGTTTGCCAAGGGCATTGATTTGAGCGTGGTCAGTTCTGTTCAATTATTGTCAAAGCGCGGAGCAGTCGAAAGGAAACATGAACAGAATCTACTGCCAGTTGACAGCTTTGTGTAAACAGTGAAACCAATGGTGCGGCAGGGTCACATGGTCACGATGGCACACCTATGAGGCCCCGAGCGGCGCCAGACGCTCAGACTGCAGGTAGAGCAGAGGTCCTGATCAGGGGCAGGGCGCTGGCTCATGTGCTCGTGTACGGCACGGTTTCCCCGGTCTATGGCAATCATGAATCGGGAAGAGCATTACTATCCGCCTAACCACCTGTACAAGGACTCTTGTGCCTTCCAGAGACACCCCAACGAAGACTACAGCCAAAACCCTCCACCGTGTCTTTATATGAGACAGGCACATTCAGTATACGCCTCACCATTGGGCGCACAGGACCAGCCAAATCTTACCGACATTACTTCTTATAACATGTCGAGCCGGTATGATCTGGCAGGGCCTCATCTTCACCTTCCCCAAACTTCACAGACATCTCTACAGTCGCTCGGGGGTTACGGAGACTCTCTGGACCTCTGCGGGGATCGGAACAGATACCATCTCCCATTTCCGTGGATGAAGTCAACCAAATCTCACACGCACGCATGGAAAGGACAGTGGACAGGTAACTCGTACTTTGGCCATTAATCTTTGTTCACCAAATAACTCCTGATTGCAGGCCATCAAGTCAAATTCATGCCTATGATGTTCCAAATCAATCTAAACATTTGTTCCGTTTCAAGAGGTACAGGTTAGTTGATTAAAGTTAAAAATGCCAGTCCACTGATGCTTAGTAAAAACTAAATCTTTGACTACCTGTTGTATTGCCTGTTGTATATGAACAGTTGTGTTGCCGTAAACATTATTGCAGCAGAAATTATGTCCCATTTTAGAGTTTGTTTGTACGGTCGTTTAGTGACTCTTATCCAGTTATGAAAATATAAATAGGGGTATGAATAGTTTCGGTCTTGAGTGTGTTGATATAGGCCTATATCAAAAATCTTCAAGCTCTACTTATCGAAAAATAAAGTTTTCTGATTATTTTTATTAGCCTACGATAAAATAAAAAATGTGTAGAGAGTAGTGTTATACTCATTGTAATTTTTTTTAATGAATAATTATGATTAGACTATAAGAAAACAAATACAATATTAATAATAACATAATTAACATCGTAAATTCATAACCTACACATTTTTCCTTATGAATATTGCAATTATGAGTATTTATAGAGTTTCGTAGCTTATAGCTAAAGTGTTTTTAAATGATATGGTTACCTGTTATTTAACATTAAATATAATTGCGAGAATTTTTTTTAGATAAATAAAAACGTACAACTTACTTTCGTATATTAATGTATTTAAATATAATAATGTGTATATAAAGGCTGGAAACAAAATAGAAAACGATTGCCATTGAGAATTTGGAATGTATTTTGATCAAAATTATTTAATTAATTAATATTAATTACGCTAATTATTTTCTACTGTCTCGAGACAGAATTACGTATGCTTTCTTTCCTCCTTTCTGTTTTCTTTTTCTTTTCTTTTCTTTTTTTTTTTTTTTTTTTTTTTAGAAAAATCACCAGACATGAGATAAAACAGTTACAAGCATTTTAGCGGTGAAATAAACGTCAAGTTTCACCAGAAAGCTCTATGTGATATAAAAAAATATCCAGGGAGACAGCCTATAAGGCCTATATAAAAACCTTTATTCGAGAAAGTGCTAGCTTTTTATTTCATATAGCCTAATTGAGTCTAACGACCTCAAACGCTGATTTTAAAATCAATCAGAACCTTCAATAATTTGATCAAAAGATACAAATTTCAGTTTTAAACATCTGGTTTCGGTGATAAATCTGGAATTTGCCCATAATTGGTGTAGCTCTACAAAATTAATTGAATAAGTGCTTGAGTTTAATTTTATGAAGAGATAATTTTGTGGTATCCTCAGAAATAGACTGTGTGCGATTGGGATGTCTAAAACACGACTTTACTGAAGTTTCACTCCTATAATTCTGTTTTAGGCCCTTATATGGTCGAGGCCGAGGAGAACAAGCGCACGCGCACAGCTTACACCAGAGCGCAGCTGCTCGAGCTCGAGAAAGAGTTTCTCTTCAACAAATACATCTCGCGCCCGCGCCGCGTTGAACTCGCACTCACCCTCAGCCTCACCGAGAGACACATCAAGATCTGGTTTCAGAACCGACGCATGAAGTGGAAAAAAGAGGAGGACAAGAGGAGAGCCAGGGGAGTGGATCCCGAACAGGACTCCTCCATCACGTCCGGGGATCTTAAGGATGAATCTTGCGTCGGCACGGCAACACTTGCGGGACCCCCTTCCCCCCTGCACCCGCATGCACCTTCAGTCCAACAAGACTCTTAAACATAAGACTGTGACACGAGTTGAACTATGTATGCAACGGCAACCAGTGGCAAAAGACTGACAGCAGTTGTAAAACTCCAATATGTACAGTGCTAGCAAACAGATTGGCAAAAGGGGGCGCTCTCGATTGCCGCATTTTGGACATTGTTTGAAGGTTATGAATTTTATAGATGAAGTATGAATAAATTCTTAATTTAAAAAAAGAAATGGGTAAATACAACAACATCTCAACATTTATCATATTTATATAGTTACCACGAACATTAAAGTGATGTGAGAAGTGTGGCGTCATGTCATTTGTTTCTACATGTGCTGCTGGTCAAAAATGGCTAGAGTTTGTATTTGAATAAAATTAACATTTTAGTCCACACGTTTTTTTATTTTATACTTGGTTTTATAATTTTCATTATGCTAAATGTATATTTATGTAGTAGTTTGCTTTATGCTTCTGAATTGTTATCCCGTTTAAGCACAGACCTGAAACATGTAGGCTACTATTCCAATTTAAACTGCTTCCATTATGCTTTGAAGCTCATACTTTGCTAATGAGCTATTATGGGTGGAGGTAGCATGCTTTTATTTTATTTTAATCCTACCCACAAAGGTTACAAAATGCTATAAAACTGCAACAGTAGCCATAGTCTTGCTGAAGTGTGTCTGTCTAATAGATACATTGTATCTCAATATGTGTTGGAATATTAGACATTCGGTTCATTAACCACTATCTGAAGAATAATAACAAAGTAGCAAACAGAAAATTAGAAACAGAAAACTATTGTGTTTAAAATGCTATAGCTGTTTGCAAACAAAAACAAAAATATATATTAGTTACACAATCAAGTGCTGCCGTTTGTTATCACTTCAACTTTATTGTAAATGTACAGAGAACGTATAGCCTACAGGCCCATATCACAAATATGCAATCAATTAATTTCTTGCATATAGCCTCGATTTTTGGGTTTGTTCCACACAAATTCTGGCGATCAAGAGTGTCAGTAAACACTTTAGCAATTAAGGCTATCTTTTAAGTTATAGTTTGGTTTGAATGTCAGATAGGACAATACTGTGTAACCTGAGGCTGCAGATTTTTTTAACCTCTTCGATCGCGCACTCGAGCTCCGCTGTTCTGCGGTTCTTCAGGCGCTCGGACAGTTGACGCACAATGTCCGCTTTGTTGTTGAGACGCGCGCAGATGACAAAAGGGAAGCCAAAGCGCTCTTTGTACTCCGAGTTTAGACGGTACATGTGCACAATCTCTGCGGAATCCAGCGTGGTCATACCGGCTTGACTCTGCTCTTCTTGGGACTCCGGTGTTAGAGTGCCGCTCTGGAGATCCCGGCCCGCCAAATCAGGATGACACCGCAAAATGCCCTCTTTACCTAAACACATAAATGCATACATTATATGGCAAGCCGTTCTTACTGTTCATCCTTAAAAGGTATACACACCTAATTTCATGCTACTAAAACACATTTTCTTTGGATGAGGTTGCTATTATATAATCTTATGCGTTTATAAATAGCATTCGTTATTTATTAGTTTTTTCAGTAGGCTAAATATTCCGTTAATAACACAAGAAAAATTAGGCCTAGCTTTTGACACATGGGGGTATATATATATATAAAGCAACGTGAATCGTGAAAGACAGGCAACTATATACATATATATATATATATATATATATATATATATATATATAGTTGCCTGTCTTTCATGATTCAAGTTGCTTTCTATTTATCTACCTTTCAAATTGCTTTATAGGACCTTAATCGCTGTGTAAAATAATAGGAAAAGTATTTCATTGACTCGGGGACATCCCAGACTTCAAACTATTATATCAATTAAAGTCACCTGGGACCATAATGCAATCAGAAAGAGCAATCAAATGGCAAAAAAAAAAGCTGAACTGTTCATTAACAGATTTTTTTCCAGCAAATCTCAATACTGATGTTTTTTTTTAAATTGCAACTATTTAAAAAAACTGTTACTTTGTTTGACAGGGAAGCTAGTGTTTGGAGTGTTTTGTTTTCTGACTGGAACTTGTGATCCCGCAGTATCCAGCCTGTATCTGCTGGCTGCAGAGCTCTCTCATGGTATGGCAGCAAGTTACTTGATTATTACGCCAAAATGAGACAGTTCCATATAAAAATATCAACTTTTCTGTTTGACTTAGTACAGAATGTAACTACAGAACAGTCGAGCTTTAAAATAAAGTAAAATTACTCTTAATGGGAAAAACGTGTTTAGAAAAATGGTAATGGTCTAATCCGATTTAATGATTTATGCTAGGCTAAGCTAAAAATGCTCAGGCCAGATGAATGCTAAAACTTGAAATCTTGACCTGTAAAAGGAGTCTATTTTCAAAACAAGTATTCATATACTTTTCTGTAAATAAACCAGCACATAACTTATCATATTTGAGAGATCATAAAAAATTGATTTATTTTGATTTATTTTTATAACAGGAAAAAAAATAACAGGAAAAAAATACCTGAGTCTGGTAGACTGTGAATAAATTCCGATATGCGAGCCTCGATGTCTGCTAGATCTTTAAATGGTCGATAGGACCATATAGCGGCTGAGATGAGGGGGCATTTCTCAACCACATTACCAAATAATTTCACAAAATCTTCATATGCTAGAGCATTTACAACATTTATATCCATGGTTCTGCAGTGTGTCTTCTACAAACTCTTCTGGAAATGGCAAAAGCCAATATTGAACGAGGTCAATGTCCGCTGGGGTGAGCATGTGTATTAGGGAGATTTTTAGCTATTCTGAATTTCACCATAATTTCATTTAAAGCAAAAAAATCAACACCTTACGCCAGTAAACAATCCCCAATGTGCTCTTATTAAATTATTATTTTCAGATGTAGCTTACACATTTATTAGTGTTTCTCTTGACAAAAAAATTTCTAAACAGTTTATTCTCAAATCAGGAGCACTATTTGTAGCTTATATCAAACTGAATCATCTCCCTTTTTTGACATAATCAGCCTTTTTGACAACAGGTTACCGGGCTGTGCAGCAAAAAAGCCCAAATGCCAATCAGAACTAACCCAAAATAAGCCAATGGCCTTACAGTATAGCTCAACATATGGCTATTCCATACATAAAATAAATATTTTACAGTCACTGGCATAACATTTCCATAAGGATCATCAAAAATAGACCGCAAAGGAGCTTAAAAAGTCCCTCCTTCAAAACTTATATGAGCTTATCATTGGTGGAACAACATTATAGCAGTTTCATCACTGGTAAAATATAGGTAAAAAAAACTGCAAACTTGGCAACACTATAGTGCCACTATCAGTTTGACTACTAATAAAACCAATTATGAGGAGAAAAAGTCACAAAATGAGTACAGAAATGAAAAATGTTTTATTAAACACACGTTACAGGGTAAACACGTTTTTACTGTTTGCTGTAGCCTACAGCTGCGGTTACTTTAGATTTCAGCTAAAAAAAAAAAGATTTTTTTGCGCTTTTGTAAATGTTTGCACTTCTGATGCACAATGGCGCCCCCGTATGTAGAAATACAATATATAAAAATACACATTCCATTTAAAATATTTAAGTTAGACAGAATTATAGGATAAAAATACAGTTTAGTTTTATTTGCTCAGTTGCACCTTACAAGAATTTTAACACATTTTTAACAATTTGTATCGCACATAAAAATAAACGTTCATATTATTCATTCATTTTTTTATGGCTTAGTCCCTTTATTAATCTGGAGTCTCCACAGCGGAATGAATCACCAACTTATCCAGCATTTGTTTTACATAGCGGATGCCCTTCCGGCTGCAACCCATCACTGGGAAACTCCCATACCCTTCCAATCACACACATACACTATAGATAATTTAGCTTACCCAATTCACCTGTACCTCATGTCTTTGGACTTGTGGGGGAAACCGGAGCACCCGGAGAAAACACACGCAAACACGGGGAGAACATGCAAACTCCACACAGAAATGCTAACTGACCCAGCCGGGCCTCAAACCAGTGACCTTCTTGCTGTGAGGCGAGAGCGCTACCCACTGCACCACTGTGCTGCCTGCCCCAGTTTACATTATATTATATTATATTATATTATATTATATTATATTATATTATATTATATTTTTATTATATTAAATCATGGGCGACGCAGTGGCACCCAAGATAGTGCTGTCACATCACAGCAAGAAGGTCGCTGGTTCGAGCATTGGCTGAGTCAGTTGGCATTTCTGTGTGGAGTTTGCATGTTCTCTCTGCATTCGCGTGAGTTTCCTCCAGGTGCTTCGGTTTCCCCCACAGTCCAAAGACATGCGGTACAGGTGAATTGAGTTAACTAAGATGTCCGAAGGGCATGCGCTGCGTAAAAACTTTGCTGGATAAATTGGCGGTCCATTCCGCTGTGGCGACCCTGGATTAATAAAGGGACTAAGCCGAAAAGAAAATGAATGAATGAATATTTTATCATGTACCTGCATTTACTCTCAAAACAAGAGCAATAAAAAAATCAACTATTTAAAAATATAATTGATAGTGTGCAAATTAAATTTCTTCAAAAAAATGCCAAGCGGACAGATTATTCCTGTTAGAACATTTAACATATTTAAAGAAATATGATTAAATATAAGTGCCCTAAAAACGAAAGACTTAATGCCTTAAACTGGAATAAATATAATGAAAAATTATAATAAAATAAAGAGTTTTTTTGTTTAAAAATAGAGCAATTTTATTGTAGAGTATTCGCAAAATAAATCAAAAGAAAAAAATTATCCCAACTGTAAAAAAACAAATACTTCTCAAATTTCATTAAGGAGAACAGAAGCAGGGTATTCAGTTTTTAAAGCTACAATTTCTAGATTTCTAAAAATTCTGTTTAAACATTAGTAAGGTTTGTTATTCTTGTATATATTTTTAAGAAGCTTGCAACACAAAATAATATTCAAAAATATATTATTAATTGGGTAAGGGTTAGAATTCTTCACAACATTTATTTAGCAATTGTTAGTTTACTCATTCTCAGGCCATCCAGAAAGACTTTTGTCTTTCTGCAGAACATTAGAAAATAGCTGGTGATTCATACAACATGAGTTATATCACCTGAATACTGTTCACTGAGGCAGTGGAGTGGCAGTAAAGGTAAAAATGTTGTAAATAATACTGACTTTCTTCCATATTTTGCTTCATAAGACGTCAATGAATCACCAGGAGGCACAAGTATTAAATATACATTCAATTCTTCCATCAAATGAAAGCATTTAATCGTCTGAAAATAACTATGCTAATAATAAGCTGCTCCATAGAGTGCTATACAGGCGTCCTAGTGGTTATCTCATGCCATTACACGTGTTTTTCTTTTCTTTACCAGCAGACGGCGTTAATCTGCCTCCTCAAATTTGGATATGAATTTATTTAACTAGAAATACTGCATTAATAATAATATAAAATATATATAAATACACACACATTACTGCATAAAATATTTTTTTTTTACCACAAAATCCTCTCAAAATACAAAATAAAAAGAGAAAGAAATATTATTAAACAAAAATAAATTAGAATGGCTTTCCTGAAAAAGAGTAATGATGAGTTTTATTTTTTTTAATAATATAAAAAAAAATCCCCCAGATTGCAATGTCACAAATTTTGATTGCCAATCTTAAGCCATTTGTAATAGTTTGTTTTTGGTTCAATTTGGAATTTCCCCAACTAGCGCAGAACCCGGGGGGCCAGAATGAGGGCTCCAACTTGCCCCCACCCCTGGTAATGATACCCTGCAGGCACAGGACGTCATATTGATGTTGTACCCTAACGTTGGGGGGACATTATATTTTGTTTGGAGACGAAAATCGGGGTTGATGTCAGAACCTGACCGACATTAATGTCCATCGTCCAACCTAAAATCAACCTAATATCAACATCTAATGTTACAGCTTGATGTGTTGTGGACATTACTACTTTGACGTTGAACAGACATCAGATTTTGGTTGCCATACCTGATTAAAAAATTCAGTATTTGACCTCAATATAACATACAAGATGATGATGGCTTGACGCTGGATTTTGGTCACAACCTTAAATAGACCAAATTTCAATGTCCTTAGACACACGCTAGACATTAAATTTTAGTCATCTAACGTCACAAAAGTAAATCTAACCTAATTTAAACATCTAATGACTTTGTGTGCCTGCTGGGTACAGTTGATTTCACTTTTCGACTGCAAAGGCTTGTGATTCTGAATTCTGTGTAACCAAAGCATTAGTTTAACCTGAGTATGATTTTAAGGTCACAACATATGTCTACTGGTAGCCATTGAGATGCATTTTATGAATCGCCAAGAACGAGTAAGCAGCAAATTTTCCCTTCAATATGTTTCCCTGCCAAAATACATTTCATACATTAATAATTAATGCATTAATGATTGAGACTTAAACTCAGCCTCAAACAGGAGGTTCTGTTCTTACTGCTCCAGAACCATGTGTATCCGTGACTATCGGTGTATCTTCAGGCATCACTGGTGCATTCTGGTATGTTATTTCATCGTGACTGTATCCTCCGACATTGTAATACAGCTGTAGACAGATATCATAGTCAGTGTGCATCCGCTGTGCGTTAATACATTTTGAAAATAACGTTCACATAAAAGTCACCCTCTCTTCTAAAGCTGCCAGCTCTTTTTCCATGAAAGCCACAATTTTGGAGAAACAAGGCCGATCTACAGGATTCAACGCCCAGCAGCGACACATAACCTTGTACCTGAAAAAACATGAACACATTTTAAAAATAGCTTCCAGAGATAAGTCCATTTAATTAAGATGTACAGATATGTGTTAACAGAACATTACTTTTGTTCACCTGTGTATCAGCTTAGGTGATTTATACAGGGTATTCGCAGGGTTTTAAAAAATCTTAAAATGTTTTCAATCTCAAAAACAGAATTTTAGGCCTTAAAAAGTCTTAAATTTACTGAAATATTGTGGTGTAGGTCTTAAATCTTAAATAAAAGCCCAAACTTTTTCTTATGTAGGGCCAAATACCAAACTTGATTGAGGCTTGTGGGCCGAAGGTAAATATAGTTGGCTAATTTATTTAATAATATAAAAAAAGACTAGAAAATAGTGCTTTATATTCACTAATACGGTATTTATTTATTTATTTATTTTTTTACATTTTATCATGAACTTGTTACAGTAAAAACAAAACAATCTCATTTATAACAGAATTACACTAGTTTTTGTCTTGATTTGTTTTTGACAGTACATTTAAATATAAAAACAGGGGTGCTAATAATTCAGGGGGGCTAATAATTCTAATAATTCTAATAATTATTAGCCCCCCTGAATTATGTGCACCCCTGTTTATTTTTTTCCTCAATTTCTGTTTAATGCAGGGAAGATTGTTTCAGCACATTTCTAAGCATAATAGTTTTAAAAACTTATTTCTAATAACTGATTTATTTTATCTTTGCCATGATGACATTAAATAATATTTACTTGATATTTTTCAAGACACTTCTATACAGCCTAAAGTGACATTTAAAGGCTTAACTAGGTTAATAAGGTTCACTAGGCAGGTTAGGGTAATTAGGCAAGTTATTGTATAATGATGGTTTGTTCTGTAGACTTTCTAAAAAAATTGCTTAAAGTGGCTAATAATTTTGTCCCAAAAATGTTTTTTGTTTTTTATTTAAAACTGCTTTTATTCTAGCCGAAATAAAACAAATGAGACTTTTTCCAGAAGAAAGAAAATTTTCAGACATACTGTGACAATTTCCTTGCTCTGTTGAACATCATTTGGGAAATATTTAAAATAGAAAAAAAAAATCAAAAGGGGGCTAATAATTCTGACTTCAACTGTATATATATATTACCCCTTTAGCCACCAAGAATTATTTTTTGGATTGGATTTCTTAACTCCGAATATTGCTAGTTAACACATTCAATGTATTTTTTTTTTAACACGTCCCATATTTTCTAAAATATCAGCCTCTAACATATGGTTGATATGTAAATTTATGGTAAAAATACCGAAATTAATCCATATTAATCCATACCCAAAAATCTGAATATATAAAGTGTAAGACCAATTTATTTAAAACTTAATCAAAACATTGTAGAACATTAAATCATCTATTTTTTGATGTATGCCATAAAATAATTCAGATTTTGAAATAATATGTTATATATATATATATATATATATATATATATATATATATATATATATATATATATATATATATATATATATATATATATATATATATATATTTTTTTTTTTTACAATAAAACCATGATCAAGTGTAGTAGTACAACAGGATTATGTTTGTTTGATTTTTTTTGTAAACCAACAATGCTGTGTGTAAACCATTAATTAAAACAGTCATTATTTAAAACAGTCAAAATATGGTCAACCATTTGGTAGAGCAGGCAGTTAAAGGGTTTATAAATTATTATTGTATTATTAAATTTATTTAAAATTTATTTAAATTTCATTCATAATGGTCTTAAAAATGTTTTTAAAAGACTTAAACTTAACTTGGTGAAACCTGCAGAGACCCTGTTATATAAATTGGTGCCTTTTTAAAAAATAATTGATAATAGTTACTGCACTGTAAAAAGTATTTAGTTGACATTACTTAAGAAAATGATTAAATGTGTTGCCTTAAATTGAAGTAAACACACTACACTGTAAAAAGTGATTAGTTACTTAAAGCAAGTAAACAAATTGCTTTAAAAGCAACAAGTTGACTTTACAAAAATAAAGTAAACCTATTGTAACTTGAAACTGTTAAGTTATATGTAACACTTATATAGTATTATTATGATTATGCAAATTGTACTCACTTTTTAAAATAAAAGTAAATGAATCCCTTTTTTCCAATACACTACTACTATATTTGTTTTTTTCCCCCAGAATTTCTGCATCTAGCAAAATGACATACAGTAAAACAAATCTGCTCTTCTAGACTTCAGTGTGTCTCCTAAGTTAATACAGGCAATAATTGTAGATTTTATAGACTTAATGAAGCACCAAATATTTGAAAACAGACGTGCTAAAATAGTCTGACATTGTACAAACGCATTAGTTGACTTAAAAAAAGTAATTACAAGCATATATATAAAAATTAAGTCAACTTTACAGTTCCAAGTTACAATAGGTTAACTTTATTTTTGTAAAGTCAACTTGTTTCTTTTAAAGCAATCGGTTTACTTGCTTTAAGTAACTAATCACTTTTTACAGTGTAGGAGCATAATTATAAAATCGAAGTTAAGCCAATCTAACAGTTCTGAGTTACAAATGATTTACTCAATATTTTTAATGTAAAGTTACTAATAGTTTTTACAGTGTATTAGTATTTGATTATGGGCGACACCGTGGGTAGCACTACTACTCATTCATTTTTTAAAAATAAAAAAAAACTAGAGGCACTTACACAGATTCTGCTGCATAATAGGGCTGCTCCAAGTGATATCCACTTTCAATCATTCTGTAGAAAGTGTTGTTCACAGTCACACCAGGATATGGGGTGACTCCTGAAAGAGATGAATGTCTAATGAATACAAAATAATAATAAAAAAAAACATTCATAGTTGTCTGAAGGTTGGATCGGATCAGCAACAAAAATCTTGTTTAACTCTTTATTTTTTCAATATTAGATTCAATTGTTTTTACAGAGCAGATTTAGGGCATCTCTTTACATTTCCACAATCAATTTTGATATACAAGCTGCTGAAGAGGAGATTTACAGTTCAGTACAGGAGAAAACACGCATTGTGAAGACACAACCTTGAAAAATATATATTGTGTAATATACTGACTGAAATCAAGAATGAGTTACAAAATAGTACACAAAAAAGTGCATTCTGATGTTTTCTCTACATCAAACTGAAAAAAAACTTTTACTTCAAGAGTTCTCACTTAAATATAGCTTGATAATAACAGCAGGTTTGGCATGCTGTCCCGGGACAAAATCCTGAGCTTGGAGATAATTGAGCACTCGGCTCCCACCTGGTCAATAAACATGTAAAGGGGTGCAAGATCAGGTAATTTACGAGAGCTCCCCCTGGCAAAGAAGGAAAGGGGGAGAAGGGATGGATGGGGGGATTCTTTAAAAAATTAAGATAAAAGAGTAAAGCGAGACATGCTATAGTGAGTAGAATAATCCGATTGGCTTACTAATGATCACAGATGAGAGACCAAACGTGATCAATCATATCACATACTCCTCTTGAAATTAGTTTGTGAAAATTCACGTAAAGCCAAAACATTTTACAACTCTAACATTTAAAGCTGTCAAATGCATGAAAATACAGTGTTTTTTCCATCTAGGGTCTTGTCTTAAAAGAAGTGTTCAGAATGAAGGCAACCTGGAGTTAAGTACATTGTGAAAACGCCTATAAAGAGCTTTCATATATCTATACTGTAAAAAATATCTGTAAATAATCATTTTTTTGTATTTTCTGTTTTTATTTTTCCCCATTTGTTTATGCTTTTGAATTAATGGGACTTTGATCTTTCTTCCAATAACTTTTAACCCTGAAAAAGTGAATTCTATGAAAATGTTTAACAGTTTAAAGTGATATATTGTCTGAGTTGGTGTTGTACATTATGCTACAAAAACCTTGTAATAAACCGCCAGTGCATTTTCTGTTATTTTACAGACTTATTTCCTATTTAAAACTGCTAAAATGTCAATAAAAGTGACTTTGATAAACTGTAGAGTAAGATTTTCAACATCAAAAGTCGACAGAGCAGAGATAAACGTCCCATAACTGTAAAAAATCACTTGTGAATCTTGTTGATTGACAGATGTTTTTACAGTGTACTCAGTATTGATGCACTATAAAAGAAAGAGACACCTAGAGAAAAGATCTCCCAGAGCAGAATGCCATAGGCCCAGATGTCACTCTCCATTGTGTAGATGCCTTTAAAAATACTCTCAGGTGCCATCCATTTCACCGGCAAACGCACCTGCAGAAAGAGTTACATTTACATGACAACTAAATGAAGAGCAGTCACATCAAGACATCAAATAAAAATCAAGTTATACCTACATTTCCTCTTACAACGTAGTTGGAGTCATGCTCAATGTCTCTGGCAAGACCAAAGTCAGCGATTTTCACCTGTCTGCCGTGTGTCACCAAAACATTTCTGGCTGCCAAGTCCCTGTGGATGCACTGCAGGCACAAAACCATTCACTTTAAAGGACAGTTCACCCAAAAATCACAATTCTGTCATCATTTATTCAGTTTAAAGCTGTTGCAAGTCTGAAGAATGCTGGTAAACAAAAAGCAGTGAAAGAAATCTGCAAATCATTGGGGAGCAACAATGGGTGTTTGCTCTTGTTCTTCTATATCTTCTTTTATGTTTGGCAAAAGAAAGAAACTCTTAAAAACTTGAAGGTTATACATTGATTTATTAAACAGAGATTTAAATTTCATTACTGTATATCCAACGATACCTCACCAATTCCTAACTTTTTGATGTAGTGGCTAATTCATGTGAATTCATACAATCTCCTTCGTAGAATTTAGTATGATTTCCCCATCCCCTAATGACGGTTGGGTTTAGCTATGCCTCCTTTTTTAAAACCGTACATTTTCGTACAACTGAACTCATACGAATTAGCCACTAAACTTACAAAATGTAAAATAGTTACGTTTCCTTGTGAGATCAGGCTTGTATATCTAAAAAATGACTGTAATACACACTGACCGGCCAATTTATTAGGTACACATGTCCAACTACCCATTAATGCAAAACTCTAATCAGCCAACCACATGGCAGTAACTCAATGCATTTAGACATGTAGACATGGTCATGATGATCTGCTGCAGTTTAAACTGAGCATCAGAATGTGGAAGAAAGGTGATTTAATTGACTTTGAACGTGACATGGTTGTTGGTGCCAGACGGGCTGGTGTGAGTATTTCAGAAACTGCTAATTACAAGGATTTTAACGCACAACCAATCCTAGGGTTTACAGAGAATGGTCCGAAAAAAAGAAAATATTCATTAAGCAGCAGTTATGTGGGCGCAAACGCCTTGTTGATGCCAGAGGTCAGAGGAGAATGGCCAGACTGGTTACAGCTGATAGAAAAGGCTGATTGAACAGTAACTTAAATAACCAATTGTTAGTACTGAAGTATACAGAAGAGCATCTCTGAACGCAAACCTTGAGGCGGATGGGCTACAGAAGCAAAAGACCACAATGAGTGCCACTCCTGTCATTCCTGTCAGGAAACTGAGGCTACAATTTGCACAGGCTCACCAAAATTGGACAATAAAAGATTGGAAAAACATTATCTGGCCTGATGCGTTTCGATTTCTGTTGAGACGTTCAGATGGTAGGGTCAGAATTTTGGCATCAACAAAATGAAAGCATGGATCCATCTTGCGGAGTATCAATGGTTCAGGTTGGTGGTGGTGGTGTAATGGTGTGGGGGATATTTTTGGCACACTTTGGGCCCATTAGTACCAATTGAGCATCGTGTCAACACCACAGCTTACCTGAGTATTGTTGCTGACCATGTCCATCTCTTTATGACCCCAGTTTACCCATCTTCTGATGGCTACTTGCAGCAGGATAACACGCCGTGTCATAAAGCACAAATTATCTCAGATTTCTTGAACATGACAATGAGTTCACTGTACTCAAATGGCCTCCACAGTCACCAGATCTCAATCCCATAGAGCATCTTTGGGATGTGGTGGAACAGGAGATTCACATCATGTATGTGTAGCTGACAAATCTGCAGCAAGTGCGTGATGCTATAATTTCAATATGGACCAAATTATTTTCAGCATGGTCCAAAATCACCATGGATTAAGGCAGTTCTGAAGGCAAAAGGGGGTCTAACTCGGTAGTTGAAAGGTGTACTTAATAAAGTGGCCGGTGAGTTTAGGTTGTTGGAAACTCATGTAGTAAAACATACTTAAGAGTTAGCATTAGAAAAAGTGTCATAAGAACTTGTAAGTTTTATCTAAGTTTTATCTTTAGTGAAAAGCAGGAAGTTTCATGATCAGAAATCAGCTCACATTTTTAGCAGACAGGAACTGCATGCCCTTTGCAACTTGAAAAGAGAAACTCAGAAGGTCATCATAGGTGAGACTGTGAAGTTCCTCTTCTTGATGCTCGTCTTCACACTCAAGCATTTCTTCACAGAGTAAACATAAGATAGTTATGCTTTATATTATAGATAGATTCGATTTTTATTCATTCATACTTTTGGTTATTTATTTATGAAGTAAATGTTAAATTATATAAAGATACATTTGCTTAGTAAATGTTGATGTTTTAAGATCTGATGTGATTTAATGTGTGAAAAGTTAAGCAATAAAAATAATACAGGGTATATACAGGAATCAGAGGGTAAAATTCAATACCTTTTAAGACCTTTTAAAAAACTCTTTCGATACATTTTAATACCTCTTTGCCACTTTAGGTCTGAACAGGCAACATTGGCGACATTTTAAATATATTCACTAAATACTGATTGTAAGAAACTAATCCTAAACTAAAACATTATTTATATATTTTATAAAAATGATAATCTAGAAGGTTTCGCCTACAGAACAGCAGAAATAATAATGCAGTAAACAAAGCAGTGTGACATCAAATATAGCAGGATTTTAGCCATTTCATAAACTACACAGCATTCCAAAATCTCTAACTTTAGCAAACAACTATAATTATACAACTGTATAATCAAAAATGATGCAAAATCGAATACCTTGTAACAGCATTTAAGACCTTTTAAGGTCCTTAAATTTCTCTAAATTGATTTATCAACTTTTAATACTTTTTAAGACCCCGTGGACACCCTGTAATATTTCATATAGTTATATAAATAAATAAAAAATAAAAGTATAACAAGAAAAAGTAATACATAAATACATAACATACAATACCTACATTATTAAATTTTTTTTTTTGTGCTAACATTTTTTAATTCTGCTTTTTGAAATTAAATATAAAATGTATTTTCCTCCTATAATTATTTATGTAAATAGCCACTTAGGGTAAATTAAACGCATTTTACTTGGCCAGACTGATAATAACAAATGTTTCTTGTGCACCAATTCAATTTATTTAAGGGATAGTTCACGTAAAAATAAAAATTCTGTCATCATACGCTCATTGCCAATTGGTTTCAAAACTGTTTGAGTTCCTTTCCTCTGTTGAACACGAAAGAAGATATTTAGAAAAATGCTGGAAAGCAGGAGCCATCAACTTCTATAGTACCCATGGTTCCCATGGTTGTTGATGGTTGCTGCTTTCCAACATTTTTCAAAATATCTTCTTTTGTGTTCATTAATATTCATAAAATGTAGAACCAATTGGGTGTCAGTAAATGGTAAGGATATTTTCATTTTTGTGTGAATTATCCTGAAATAACATAACAATAAAATAACATGACATTTAATGAAAATCCTGTTTAAATCTGTTTATGCACCAATTTTTCTCTTTCTGCACATACCCTCAGCAGGAGACCCTGAGCTGATGCTGCTACTCAGAAGCGCATCGTTTTCTTTCTCCTGTTCTTTGCTAGCAGGAGTCACATTTAGGCATTGGCTGTTATCAGACAGAACATACTCACTGTGGAAAGAGAAGCACATGGTCTGTTAACTGCACGACAGGTTATTCATTTGTATACTCCTTTACATTTACACTTCCACTTCCACAGCTTTTTCTGTTTGCTTTGTCTAAAAGGGCACCAATGTAACTTGCTGCCAGGCACTTATGCAAACCTGGAGTTTCTGTTCTGCTGGAAGTTGTGGTAGAGGCCCCTGAATCTGTCCTTGTTGAAAGCGTCCGTCAGATATTTGTGAAAGCATTCTCTGTTGCTCTTCAGGTAATTCAGGAGATCTCCGTTACAGCAGTACTGGAAGATCAGGTAAACAGGACCTGCACAACAATGAAATCTATGCAATTTTGTGCTGAAACATCAAACATCTATTAGTTAGAATTGAATTAAGAGATACAATGATTATTATGGTTAAACAGCAAAAATCAGCCCAAGGCACTCGAAAAATGTGGAAAAAATATTAAAAAGCCTTTATTTACATGGCGAATCCTTTAAAAAACATACACGTTTTGGCAAAGAACTGCCTTCATCAGGGTAACAGAAACACTTTTGCTGAATCACACAGGTTTTTTTTAAAGCCTAGCCATGAGAATAATTATAATTATTATTATGATAACCTTTAGTTTACCAGGAAAGAGACATTGAGGTTAAAAATCTCTTTTTCAAGAGCTTTTAATATTTTTAATATTAAAAATAAAGGCTTTTAAATATTTTTTCCACATTTTTCCAGTGCCTTGGGTTCATTTTTGCTGTTTATTCTGATGAATCTCTTACCCAAAGAGCACCAACACATTATTTAAGCTACCCCTGAGCACTTTAGATCACTATTATTATTTTGCAGAGAAGGTGAGAGCTGTTTTTACAAAAATGTTAAAAATTAAATATTTTCAGGTAAAAGTTCTTAAAAGATATTTTTGTTAAAGTAAAGAAGTTAACATATTAATACATATTTGATAAAAAAATAATAGGAAAGGCTGCATGAATGTTAAAGGTGCTCAAGTGCTTCTTGTCACTTGTTTAAATAGCTGACTAGTTCTTATTAGCATATTTCAGAGTTAAATGAAACTTAAATGAGACACTGATATAAATAATATTTTCAGATTCCTCTCATTTATTGATGTTAATCTGCACCTGGTTTTAATTTCCCTTATTATCTGACAAACTATATTTAACTGGCAACAGGACGTACCAGTTTTGACTGATTTTATAAGATGGTGAGCCGTTCTTAAGTACTGAAAAGCAAGAGAAGTTAATCACTCAAATCTGTGATTTCTAAAAGTTTGCATCTTTACAATGTTTTTTTCACAATCATGCCAAAGCATATTAAGAACTGTCAAGTACAGTTCCAGTTATGTATCAACATTAGTCTAGAATGGCACCATTACAAACCTTTCTGGCCTTGTTAGACAACCATGCTGAACCATGGTGGACTGGTTTAACACATATATATGCGCATGACGTTGCCATTCTGTAGCCTGGCTGCCAGTTTTTCCATAGTTGACTATGCAGAAGCTTCCTTCCTTCCTTTCCTTCCTTTCCTTCCTTCTTTCCTTCCTTCCTTCCTTCCTTCCTTCCTTCCTTCCTTCCCTTTTCTTTCTTTCTTTCCTTCCTTCCTTCCTTCCTATTTATTTGTTTGTTTATTTATAGTTATTCAATGAAGTGAATATCAGAAAAAACGAGTCCCAAACACAAAAATATCACATCTTCCTCATCTGTGTATAGATTACACTAACATTACAAGGGCAATGACTGACAAATTTGTATTACATTAACAAAAGTTACATTATCAGCAACACCATGGAAAATAAAACCACTTTCATGCTGACTGGAGCGGATCAGCATCGAATTGAACGTTTAGGCAAACAGAACTGCTGGGTCCAATAGTGGAAAAGCGGCTAAAGTCGCTCACTCATTCAAGATCCACGAAACAAATGGTAAATCATTTCTTTAAAGCTGAAATAATTGAAAAGATAAAATAGCCAGCCCAGATTCCTGACCTAAACCTAAAGTGAAAATCCATTTCATCAAGGTTTGGCTAAGAAACTTGTCAGTCCGTGAACTGTGGAAAAGGCCAAGATCAAGATCACACCATTTAAAGTTGCTCACTTCCTATTCATTTAAAAAAAAAAAAAAAAAAAAAAAAAAAAAACTTAAATTTCTTCAAAACATTTATCTAAACTCTAAAATTGGAAGTCGATTGCACTACGTCTGAAAAAAAATAAGCCTTTATAAGTGGTTCTCTAATTTTTATCTACATCTGCATATAGGTGTGTGTCTCCAACTGATAATATAATTATCAAACCCAAGGCCTCTCCAAATCTTACCTGATCCCGTGCAAGCACCAAGCAGGTTGACAATGTTCTCATGGTGTCCAATATGAGTCAGCATTTTCAGTTCAGACATCAGAGCTTCCTTCTCCACTGCCTGGTGCTTCTCTGTTTAATCCGCCAAGCATACAAAGCACAGGTTGTTATTTATTTTATCTTATTTAAATATTCATAACAGATTTGTCATTACTTACCCTTTAACATTTTTACCGCTACCTGAACAGAAACACCCGGCTTGCTGATCCCATATGCTGTAGCCTGAACAACCATCCCAAAAGCACCAGATCCAAGTTCATTCCCTGTGGAAATTAGTATTGGGTAAGTTACTTCAAAATGGTAGTTAATGACTGATTACATTATAGTATCACTTTATTTTGATGGTCCCTTTAACGCATTTTGTTGACTTTAAGGTTTATTGCATCTACATGCCAACAAATTCTCATTAGATTATAAGTAGACTGTTAGGTTGGGTTTAAGGTTGTTGTAAGTTGACATGTACTTGCAAAGTTACTTATAGTCAGTTAAATATCTGTTGAAGGAGCATATCAACCTATATTAAGCAGACAGTCTACTAATACTCAAATGAGAAGTAATTGGCATTTGCAATGCAACTTTTTGCAAATAAAACATGCAATAGGAGCCATCAAAATAACGCATTACCCTTTATAAAAATGGTAATTTCTCATAGTAATGTCTTGTAATTTAACTAGTAAGAAATTTAATTACTTGACTCAATACTACTTAAAATACCTTCAAATCTCAATACATAGACAATAGAAATTAAATCCTTTTAATTATTTACATTTGAGTCCAGGCCTTGTTTTCAGCTGTTTGATACTGAATGTATTACGTTAAATAACACTCCACTTTTTTGGAAATACAGTAGGCTCATTTTAGCCTCCTAAACTGATAAACTATTGAGTTTTATAATTTTTGAATACATTCAGCTGATCTCTGGGTCTGGTCGGAGCACTTTTAGCTTTGCTTAGCATAAATCATTGAATCAGATCAGACCATTAGCATCTCACTCAAAAATGTAAAAAAGTTTTGATTAATTTCCTATTCAAAGCTTGACTGTTCTGTAGTTACATCTTGCACAAAGACAGATGGAAAATGAAAAGTATTTTCTTGTAACTACACTCTCATTCCAGCTTAAAGGCAAATTTATTTAAAGTAACTGTTATAAAATCCCCTAAAAATGAACAGTAATCCAATATCTACTGGTTTATTCACAGGTGTCAATTTCAGTTCCTGGAGGGCCGCAGGTCTGCACAGTTTACTTCCAACCCTGCTCCAACACACTTACCTGTAGGTTTCAAACAAGCCTGAAAGACTTAATTAGCCTGACCAGGTGTGTTTAATTAGGGTTGAAACTAAACTGTGGAGAACTGCTGCCCTCCAGGAACTGGAAATGACACCTGTGATTTAGTATTTCAGTAGATAAGTAATTTAATTAAAGCAACATCCAACGCTGCTAGAAACACATGAAAAACACTGAGGTGGTCTTACAAACCAGTAGGTCCAGGAATTGCAATTGACTGGACGGGTTTTGTGCTGACTGGAGCGGATCGGCACGGAATGGAATGTTTAAGCAAACAGAACTGTTCGGCTCAATAGTAAAAACATGCCTTAAGTCCCTCACTCATTCTAGTTCCCCCGAAAAGACTGGTAAATCTGTTCTTTAAAGCTGTAATCACTGAAAAGATTAAATGGCCAGACCAGAGTCCTGACCCAAACCTAATTGAGAAGTTCGGCTAAAATCTCACCACAGTCCTTACACTGTAGAAAAGACTGAACAAGAGCTGACCAAGATCACACCATTTAAAGTTGCTCAGTCCCTATTCATAGTTAAGTTTCCAAAAACAAACACAAAAACTTACATTTCTTCAAAAAATTTAAATAAAACTAAAATTCCATCAGAATTTAAACAACACAGATTGCATTACTTACAGTAACTACATTTTAGTACATTTAGGTACATCCGACTTTGCTAGAACCACATGAAAAACATTCATACTCCATTTATCATTTGTAGAAAGTAAAAACAATAACAATCCTTACCAAGTTCGAGATTTTCGCGAGGAAATTCCCATTTCAAGTCATATTTGAACTCTCTGAAGTCAATATAAATGTAATCATTGTCGTTGGGTCCGATCATCTGAATCATCTGGATCTGACTCTGGTACTTAGGTTTCTGTGATGAAAGAGTGTCAGTGTTAGTTTCAAAGTGTAATCAATGATTTTAGGTTATCATGACATTATTTTAGGTTTACCTTAACTCTGATGAAGATGATTAATGCAATGATAATCATGAAGAGTATAACGATGAGCAGGAAACAGATCACATAATAAGTGTGAGACTCTAAGGGGAAACAGTTGCATATGAAAAAGTCAACTAGATGAATTTTTTGTGAAATATATTTTAGTACTGCAATCCCAAAAAATAGTTCAAGTTGAAATACTGAGTTAAATTCCAGAGTTGGTTACTGAGCTAGTTTTCATAAAAATCAACCACTAAAAATACAAAGAATAACACCTGCTCAAAATTGCTATCAATAAAGACAGGAAAAAAATATTTGGTATTATGTTTCATTTAGATTCTGTTCCTCTCTGTGTGGTTTTAAAATATTCCACACATATTTACATACAAAATATGTAAATATCTCGGGTAATGTATCCACCATTAGTCTTTGAATACTGGTTCAATATTTGACTCCAGTTTGATTGTTTTAATGTTTTAAAAGAAGTCTGATGATGAAATTCAGCTTTGTCTTCATATGAATTTGAATAATACTGTATTTATGTGATGACAAAGCTGAATTTATAGCATGAATCCTATTTGTAATCTTCATAGTCACACAATCCTTGCGATGCTCACGATGTTCAAGACACATTTATTATAAAAACCAATATTAAAAATGGCTGACCTGCTTATTTTTTTGCTAAAATGATCATTTATGTTTGATAAACAAAGATCAAAAGAATGTTTTTTGCAATAGAATGATTTTGAAACATTTTTACTGTCACTTTTGATGAATTTAATGCATCCTTGTTGAATAAATCAAATTCTAAAACAACCCTTAGAATAACAAAATTACAAAAACCCTAGTAAAATCTAGTAAAAGTCAAAGTTACATCCCGCATTCAGTTTCAGAGATGTTCAATTTAGGTTTAGACTCACTGGTTTGCAGTAGTATTTTTTCACTGCAGCCAGTCCCTGCAACATTAGTGATGCAGCATTTGATAAGATGGTCCTCGCTTTTCAGGTGCCGTCTGGAAAAGCCAATTTTCTTCTGACAGAACTGATCTGAATCTGTAAACTCTGGCTGGTCAGCAGCTATCTCTTTCCAGTCTTCAGGATCACATCTGTGAAAATATTTAAATTGTTTTAGTGTTAGGGCTTAGGGATAAGTATTATGGCTGTTTATGCCATTAAATCGTTCCCACACACATTTTTTTTCAGGAAGTAAATTATTTCTCACTTTGAACATTACTTGTGCCACCTTAACCAGATAAATACAATAACTTTAAAAACAATCAGTTTGTTCATCAATTAGTTCTACATCATCGAAGCTTCTGATTGCTCTCTCTTTTGTAATACATGTAGTTTCACCAGATTATTACACAATAACCTAAATACAGTAGTTTAAGTGATTTATTGTCAAAATATGTCTTAATATTTACAATATTGCTATGGTCTTTGCCAGTTTTGCTTTAATGCATTTTTATTTGTAGATACCAGATGATTTTGTATTATTTCTGTGCTATTTCTATACTACATTTTCTACTATTTTCCTAACAATAATCATTGATTTATCTATATTTATGTCAATTGTTTGATTCGACTTAATGATTTCCATTGTGCTCACCTACAAGCAGAAAATATTTGTATAAAATATCTTTTGTTTGTATTATATATGCTAAACATATTTTTTTATATAGATAATAAAAAGTTTTGAACCTAAAACCTTTAGGTTCCTGCCGTACACTACAAGTTGTTCCCATATATGTAGATTTATTTTCACCAAATTGTGTCTTAAAAACATAGAGCACATCATACACCCAGCACAATGGTGCAAGACTTGGGCCATTTGTTTATATTTTCAGAGCAACGCCACCCTAATTTTCACCTTTTCCACCACATTGTTTAAATAGCAAATCCATTTCAACCACTTTGCAGACTAATGGGTGTGGGGGTGGTCTATAAAGGAGGTGTGTTGAGGCGAATTGTTGGCATGTTGCTATTTTGAAGAACTGATATAGATCACCCCATTGACCAAAAGCTGGTCTAAAATCCAGCGCAGTGTGCTAGTTATGCAGCTATGCACACTCAAAGGTTTAATACACACAGGATGTACAGTAAAACACAAATATCTTTACATATAAAAATAATAAAGGATTGAAATGTTACAAAAATTATTATTTACTACATAAATGCCTGCCTCCATGCCTCACCTTGGGGGGCTCTTTTCAGTTTATTCATAACAATTAACATTATTATTATAATGTCATCATTAGTATTATTTATTTTTATCCATATTTATATGTGTTTTAATGAAAACAAGCTTATTTGTCCACCTGTCAGGTTTTGTAGATGTATGCAACACAACAATAGGACGTGTGTTTGGATATAACTCAGTTTTGTTGACCACACTTCATTATTATTGTTCATTTATTTGTTTGCTGGTAATTAGAACTGAATTTAGAAATAGTTTTGAAACAAATTTTTGTGCTTAACAAACTAAATTAAATATAATGGATGTCTTCAGTGGAGTGTGTCAACACAGTTTCCTCATCCAGGAAAATAAAGGAGTAAAGTAAAGAGTAAAAGTAAAGTAAACGAGCTGAATAGAGGAGGCTTATTTTTTATCCTCGCTATCCTTTTACGTTATCCTTTTCTCGCTAATGAAGCATTCAGTTTGTCCATTCAGTTTTTCCACTTACAAAGTCTGCCTTGTAAATAACAAATGCCCCATAGCCCCATGCAACTGACTTTTAAAGGGAACTCTAATTGGTTTAATGCATGCTCAAAACACACCCATAACTCATTAACTGAATAAGCACAATCCTGTTAGACTATGTGCCAGAGCGCCGAGCATATTTTTCTGTCCTTAAAATAGCAAAAGTGGATCCGGACACGTCCTTAATGCTTTTGCGACATGCGTTTTAGACTTTGCGCCTAGATCAGTAAAATAGAGCCCATGGAATCTTTAAACAAACCATTTTAGACATTATGAGAAAAAAGGTGATGCTGCATTATTATATTAAAATTTAAGTGTTTTGTTTTTGTACCTTGGATCAATGGACAAAAACTGACATTTAAAATACCATAGTTGGTGCATTTTTATGGTTGATGACTTACTTAGCATGGGATGGGCAGGTCTTCCAGGATACAGTCACAGGTAAAGGGCTTTCAGTCTCACAAGTAGTGAAGCTTGAATTTTTGCGTATTGTAATTTTAGGAATATCTGTGAAATGCATCGCATATTAAATTATTTCTCAGTAATACTTTTTATAAATATGTCCTAACTTTTACGACTACTCACCTGAGATACACAGAGATACATTCCTCATGACACTGTATTCCTGAGTCTCGAGTTTCATTTGATACTGACCTGGTTCAGTGTTACACAGCTTAAACGTACTGAAGTGAAAATAAAGAGAATAAGCAAACCCAGCAACACAAAGCATCATCTGCTTTTAAATGGACAGCATGATTTAAATACCTGGTAAAATTTGATTGGGAAGTTTCGTCACACTGTATTTGTGTTTGATTTGGTGTGATCCAATAACACCGGGCTTTTGGGTAGGAGAAAACCTGAGACTGGAAGCAAAAGTCTGTCTTATTTTTTGCTAGTATGCTGTTGTTCTCGTTCAGATGCAATATGTCAATTTGATCATGTTCTGCAAGAAAGGATAGAAAAATGTCACAGTCATTTTTTTTTGCATGACAAATCAGCCTTCATTAGCATTAGATTGAAGCATTATGCAATTTTTGAACATGATATTTTTCATTGTTTTCTGAATACTGAATAAGAAAATATGGCATAACATGTTTTATACTGTGCTTAAAAGTCATTTTACTCCTGTTTAAAATAACTTAAACTTTTGATCTCCACTTTAAATAAATCAGAATATTAAAATATTTCTTTAATAATTATTTTTAAGAAACATTTGAATAAATAAGCGAATTGTTTTACTCACCAAAGACCTTGACATGGGTGCTGCAATTTCGGGGGGTTTTAGTATCTGATGTGCAGAGGTAAAGCCCACTGTGTGCCATATTAACTGATTCGATAAAGAGGTGCTCTGTCCAGTCATAATATTGTAATGAGGTGATTCCCTTGATCTAAATAAAGTGCAGAAACAAATAAGCTAAAACTTTAGGACATGTTCGGAGCAGTGAATGTATGATTTATTGTTTCTCCATCCACATCTTACCACTGTGTTATTAAAGTGCCATTTTATTCCTGGGTTTCTCAAATCTTTTTTGGCAGCTCTGAGCAGCAAAGATTGACCAGATTTAAGATAAATTATATTTTGAGACTTTTGCTTATCCTCCTCATTCAGATCTGTAAGAGAACAACACAGTTTTCAATGTTTTATTACTAAACTGAAAAGCCAACACTCCTATATTATCAAAATAATATTTGCTGTCAAACTGATGAAATTTAGCTTGAACACTCATTAAGTGAGTAATAAAGCTTGGCTTATATTGTGGTGGATGACTTACAGTATATACAGTTGAAGTCAGAATTACAGTATTAGCCCCTCTGAATAATTAGACCGCTTGTTTATTTTTTCCCCAATTTCTGTTTAATGGAGAGCATATTTCTTTAACACATTTCTAATTATAATAGTTTTAATAACTCATTTCTAATAACTGATTTATTTTATCTTTGCCCTGATGACAGTAAATAATATTTTACTTGATATTTTTCAAGACCCTTCTATACAGCTTAAAGTGACATTTAAAGGCTTAACTAGGTTAATTAGGTTAGCTAGGCAGGTTAGGGTAATTAGGCAAGTTATTGTATAATGATGGTTTCTTCTGTAGACTATCGAGAAAAAATATAGCTTAAAGAGGCTAATAATTTTGTCCCTAAAATGGTGTTTAAAAATTAAAAACTTCTTTTATTCTAGCCGAAATAAAACAAATAAGGCTTTCTCCAGAAGAAAAAATTTTATCAGACATACTGTGAAAATTTCCTTGCTCTGTTAAACATCATTTGGAAAATATTTTAAAAAGAAGAAAAAAAATTCATAGGGGGGCTAATAATTCTGACTGCAACTGTAGTATATCTCTATACTCTCTGACTTACTTCTAAAGTTATTGTTTGTACAGAAAATTCTGAACAGACACAAAGCAGCGTTAACTCACCTTAAAATGCATTAAATTAACTTTTGTGGCACATATTGCTATATTTAATTAACAAAACGATCATAGAAGCACTTTTAATTTGGGATTTAGACAGAAGGTTTAATACTGCTCAGCATAAAAACATTAATACAGTATGTAACACTATATATATATATATATATATATATATATAGTTGAAGTCAGAATTATTAGCCACTCTGAGTTATGAGACCTCTGTTTATTTTTTCCTCAATTTCAACCTATTTGATTTTTTCAACACATAATAGATAAACATAATAGTTTTAATAACTCATTTCAAATAACTTTGCAAATAAATTTATTTTATCTTTGCAATGATGACAGTAAATCATATTTTACTTGATCTTTTTCAAGACACTCCTATACAGCTTAAAGTGACATTTAAAAGCTTAACTAGGGTAATTAGGCAAGTTATTGTAAAATGATGGTTTGTTCTGCAGACTATCGAAAAAAATATAGCTTAAAGGGGCTAATAAGTTTGTCCTTAAAATGGCTTTTAAAAAATTAAAAAACTGCTTTTATTCTAGCCGAAATAAAACAAATAAGACTTTTTCCAAACAAACAAATATTATCCGACATAATGTGAAAATTTCCTTGTTCTGTTAAACATCATTTGGGAAATATTTATAAAAAAAAAAAATTCAAAGGGGGGCTAATATTTTTGACTTCAACTGTATATACAGTGAAATTTTCCAGCAGGGATGCATTGAGTTAATGAAAAGTAACAGTAAGGACATTCATAATATTTCAGAAGAAGTTGTGTTTTAATCAAATTATGCTCTTTGGAAGAAAAAATAAGAATTTTTTCCCAAGAAATTTTAAGCAGCACAACTGTTTTCAACACTGCTAATGACAATAAATAAATGTTTATTGAGCAACAAATCAGAATGATTTCTGAAGCATCATGTGACGCTGAAGACTGGATTAATGTGCCTGAAAATTCAGCTTTGCCATCATAGAAATAGCTTACATATTAACCCTTTAACAGGTAGTGTAACCACCTGGTTAATCTTTTATCCATAGGTTATCATCATAATAGGTTATCATGATATTTATCAGAGTTGTGTCAGTATATTATTCAATCCAAGATGTGGGCCAAACAATTATTTTTCAAGTAGAGCATGTTTAAGGGTCAATACCGTATATTAAACGGATCACAGTTAATTTGTGACAAAGTAATCTCAATTTTACTGTATTTCGATCAAATAAACGCAGTCTTGGAGAGAATAAGAACATTAAATATAACAATGAAATAAAGAAAAAAGCATACCATAATGATAGACCTCAGTGCATTCTTCTCCCAGAGCATTACTGGCACAGCATTTCTGATTTGGATTTTTAGAAAGATAACTATAATAACTTATCAAAGTGCTCTCTGTCTTACACGCACTACTTGTCATGCCCTCCTCTGCATCATCACTAAATAAACACAAAATCAAAACAGAGTGACAAACATAAACTTTCCAGAAACTGTATCGGCAACCATAACTTTCTTCTTACCTGTTCCCATACCACCTGAGAGTTGGTTTTGGGTACCCCTCAGAAGTGCACACTAACTGAGCTAGATTTGTAGACCCTGCCTTTAAAATAGCTTTGAGAACTGGAACCGATGGCCTTCCTAGAGACAACAAAAACACATCTGAAACGATTCATGCAGGATGAAGTCACTTTTTAAAGCGATGCTTTACGAGTGCTAGTCTTAATATAAATATATTTCCTCTATATGATAAGCGTTTGACTTACTTTGTGTTGCCCGAACAGCCGTAACAGTTTTATTGCCACAGATCACAGAATATTTTTCATTTCCCAATTTTTCAATGCATTGTAACAGATGGATAGAAGAATTTGTCCTAGGAGGAATTTTAATAATTGTATTTTATTTATTATTCAATCAGCGATATAGTCTGACCAGCAGCTTCACTACTATTAGCGGTTTATCACTAATATCACACATTGAATAAACAGTTTAAACTTGCATTAACAAATGAACCATCATCTATCCAAACCTTTGATAGCAGAGACATTTACGCTCATTGGAGCTATTTTGTTCACATGCACTGTAAATTTCCACCACTTGTCCTTCAGTGACATCCAGTTTGATTGGGTCAGAACTCATTAAGTCAGTCTCTTCCAGCGTGCATCTTACAGTCTAAAAAAAAACCATGTTCTTTAACACACAATCATCTTCACCATCAATGCTAAAAATAAACTTATTCTGACGGTAAAATACAAATCTCTGTGGTTATTATGGCAATTTCAGTAAAATCAACAGTTCTGCTTTTATTTTTACCTGATTTTAACTGGCTAAATGATGAGAAGTAAGTTTATTATTACATTCTTCAAAATATCTTCTTTTGTGTTTGACAGAAAAATTCATATCGACTTGAAGCATAAGTAGATTAAAAAATGAGTAATTTTATATTTTGCAGTGAACTATTCCTTGAAAGTGTGCTTTCTTAATAAGTTACATAAGTGACTTTTTGATGTTAAATTATGAGCTCTTCATTGACAAATGCTCACTACTTGCACTTTATAGCTTGTTAAATTATCAGCCATGATACCACATACAGTAAACAAATGGATATGTATTAGGTTTAGCATATTTTAAATAGGTGCTTTAGAAATCACGTTTTCAAACTGAGGCGGCACCAAACACCTTGTAACATTTAGTTTAATGTAACGAGGCATCTGTAATCTCAGTTTATTCCGTGGGTGACGCTAAACACCAGCTGTAAATGAGTCTCACAGTTCCAGACAGACAGTTGTACTGAGGGCTGATTAGAAAGAAGAAACTTTACCGATCCATCAGTGTCGCATCGCGGATGAGCTTCAGTTAAACCGTCCTTCAACGAGCTCCAGTGCAGCACGAGCAGCACTACGGTAAAAGAGAAAACAATACAAATGTGACAGAAAGAAATAAAACAAAAAACACTATTCAACAGACTAGACTTTCAGTCTTGAATATATTTATAACAAACAATATTCTGCATAAGACAAGCCATTAAAACGGACGAATTACTGCAGTTTTTGCCGCAAGTAAATAAACAGTTTTGCCTCACTTACCCAGCAAGAGCTTGATTCCAAGATGCATTGCGTGAATACATAACAGTTTGTTCCCCGACTCTTGTCAGACCGTGAAATAGGATGGACAGCGAACAGAGGCAAGAAGACTTTCACTTCAGCCTGTAAGTGACACACATACTCACACTCACACTCACACATATACACAAACACACACACACACACTTCTTTAAACGTTTCAGGTTCAGTATTAGTCGGCCAGCATCTGCAGAGGACATCTTTGTATTTTGGAAGATTAATTTGCATTAGCAGGCTAATGATTGTTAAAAGTAAATCAATAAAACAGTTTTCTTTAAGCTGTAAATAATTAGCCTACATAATATATAAAACACATAAACATAGACAGGTAGACAGACAACTACAGTAGATCCAATGTATTAGGCTACAGTCCAAAAGTAAAAACGCAAAAAAATTTATTAAAGGAGGTGTAATTTTCCCCTCAGTATTTAAGGAGTGAAAACTGTTTTATATTCTATATATAAATATTATAATATTCATACTTGAAATGTTCATTTGCAAGTTCAAATGTAGGTTCATTTTTCAGCTATTTTGTAAAACCAGTGGCTTTTAATGGCAAATCCAATAAGCTGAAAAATATTTGAAGTGGTGTCCTAATTTCACCAGAGCTAAAATATAATAATAATATATTGTGTTTTATTTGGACATCTTAAATTTTACTGGTAAAATATTACATGTAAAAAGGATATATTGAATTATATTGTTTTCTATCACGACATAAAAAATTCTGGCCCTTGTCAGGTCTAAATATTTGCCAAATAAAACCAACACAATATATCCCAGCTTCCTGTAATGATGACAAAATGAAAATTCCATGGGTGACAAACTTAATCAGAATCAGAAAGAGCTTTCATACGAGGAATTTGTTTTGATGACAGAAGCTTTTACAGTGCAACAGAATTACAGAGACAGGACAAAAACAAATAAGAAATATAAATTAAAAATAGAAATAAGTACTGAATGCAAATATACAAATTGACAATTGTGTGTACAGGTATTACTATAACGTTAAATGTTCAGCTGTTATGTGCAAATTGGCTTGTAACGTGTGTTGTTAAATAAGTGTGTTTAAAAAGTGTATATTAAGTAGTAATGTTGGTTCCACAGTTTTTATCATCAAGCGTTCATGACAAGGATCGCCTGTGGGAAGAAACCCTGTGGTAGCATCGACCAGAAGGTAGCAGTTCAAAGAGGCAGTGTACTGGGTGTGAGAGGTCCAGAGAGATTTTGGCTGCCCTTCTGCTCGCTCTGGATAAGTACAGTTCTTGGACAGTATGGGAGGGTTGTACCAGTGATTCGCTCAGCAGTCCAAACTATTCAAAGTAGTCTTCGAAGGTCAGATTTGGTAGCTGAGCTAAACCAGACAGTTATTGAAGCGCAGAGAGGACTGATTCAGTGATGGAGGTGTAGAACTGTTTCAGCAGGTCCTTGGAAGGTTGAACTTCCTCAGCTGACAAAGAAAGTACAGCCTTTGTTGAGCTTTTTTGACAATGGAGTCAATGTGAATCTTAAGTTACCCTTATAGTTAAAATGGGAATTAAAGTAATAGTTCACCCAAAATGTTTAATTTACTTACTATTTACTCACCCATAATGTATATATAAATACTTTTAGGTTTTTTCACCTTTTGGAAAGGACAATGGAGGTTACAGACAGGAAAGTATTGGGAGCAGAGAGAGGGGAAGGGTCGGCAAAGGACATTGAGCTGGGAATCAAACTCGGGTCGCCATGAGCAGCATGGTGCTATATGTCAGCACACTACTTAAAATCCTGTAACCAAAAAAACAAATATACCATGAATGTCAGATGAATTTTAGAAATACAGGTTTCCAGTTTTCTTCTTTGTGTTCGAACATCAGTGCATGTGAGTAGCTCTTGAAAAGCAGAAGATTTGGATGTTTGTTGGTCTGAAACCTTCAGGTGTGTGTGAACACAATGGCGATTAAGGAAAGACATCAGCAATGATCTTAGAGATTCTATTCCTTTCATAAGTCTGGGAAGGACAAAACAGCAAAACATCTATTTTTAAAACAATGTCAGTCTTTCAAGACATTTAAAGTAGTATTTAAAATATATTAATTATTTTAATCAAGACACCAGTATTCTCAGCAGTGGACATCCCAGCAAATTCATCTCAGATCAGGTTTGTAATGCCCAAAGAAGGAGCAGACAAACCAAGAATTTCACTGTTAAATCTTTTGTTTGTTAAAAAACAAAAGACTGGACAAGTATGGCATGTTTGGAAGGGTTGCCAGAAGGAGAAAAAACAGGTTTGTAAAGTTGCATCTAAACAAACCGTAACAGCTAATGTCCTTTGAACAGACTAGCCTAAAGCTAAAAAGCAGATCAGCACAAACAACCCATACCGAAATTCTAGCAAGCTGGTGCAAGCTGGATTTTGGTCTTTTTTTGTGGCCTCATGACCTGCACACTTAACAGTCACTGAGTCCAGCAGCACCTTCTCTATACTGTATATATCAAAGTCACCCAAGTTCAGTCAAAATTAGGTTATAGTAGGAAAAAGATCTCGATAAGATCAGAACAGCTTGAAAAACAAAAGATTCAATGTTTTGCACGGCCAGACCTTATCCTGATTGAAAAGCTGTGGCAAGAGCTGTGCAGCTATACAGTATATGCCCACCCTTATTATACTGAAACAACACTAATTGAGAAATCAAAGTGAGAATCTGATAAACCCATACAAAAAAGATGACTTTTAATAATTGCTGCTACAGTAGATACCGCCAATTGAGTCATAAGTTTGTCACACAGCTTTTTCACCCCGGCTTTGCTTTTGTTGAAGAAATAATCATAAGGTGTTATATCTTGTTCATTCAATTGGGTGGCACAATATATAATTTCAGCATCAATATCACAATATGCGCACATCCGCAATAGTCAAATTGAAAGTTATGCAATCAGGGGTGGATTTATTGATTTAGGGGTCCTAAACAATTCCAGCCATGGTGTCCAACGGTCCTAAAATGCACCCTTTGTATTATTAATATTTTCAATATATATATAAACAGTTTGAAGGCAAAAACCTCTAAATGCTATCTGAATTTTTTCTCTAAAATTAGCATTTTTACCTGGCTCCTGTGTGTAAGTTCAGCAATATCCCTATTATGGCAAAGAATACGTCCTTTTCCTGGTCTTTAAAGTGAAATATCTAAATATAAACAAAGGAGGCTGAGAAAAATATAGGTTTTCATTGGAAATTTCAGAAGGTACTTAGAGGTTTTTGCATCTGAACTCTTCATATTCATCACTCAATCTCATTTTCTACATTTTATCGTAAAGCAATCACTAAATATTTAAATGATTTGTTTTCTTAAAATAAATTCACAACTAAAGATAATAAGGAAAAAAAATAATTTTTAAAACAATATATTTACCTGATTTGACTGCTGGACTGCACGTTTGGGGTGGGGAACAAATTTGCGCAGATGTAATAATTATCTCAATATTTGATGTGATACATCCTCATCATACAAAATATTATAGAAAACAATGTTATATAATTTATGGGTATAATTTATATTTCTAGGTATTTATCAGGAGCCCCCAGATTTCCTGGGGCCCTATCTCACTTATTGGTAAAATCCGCCCCTGTATGTAATGTTGAGAGATTATAATTGATCAGGATCACAGTTCAGGATCTTTTAATGAAGTTTATAATTTGCATGTTTTTAAGGCCTGAGAGAGTTTAAAGCATTCGAGAACAAAACAGTAAAGTTATGTACAGTAAAGACTTTTGTGTTGTTTCATTGTTTCATTTACATTTTATTGTAAACTTTATGTACCTGAATACTATTTGACTATACCCTGAAAACCATAAAGCATGCTTATTTCACTTTATCTTTCCTCTGTTGTGTTTATCTATGTTTGAATTGTGTTTATTACATTTTATGCATGCTTTACTCCTTTACAGAATCATCCCAACCAATCAAACTTAATACATTCTTTCGAAATAGCACCATTTCACCCAGTCATCTGGTTAAACGGCATATATAGCACAATATAGCAGAAAAACAAAATATAGCAATATCGGATTGACCAATATTGTGCAGCTCTAGAATTTAAGAGGGTGTCCTTTTTTACATGTATGTGTAATGGTAAGGGAGTATAGAGTCAATCTAGGGCCATATACACTTGCAAAATAAAAGAAGTTTTGCAAACAAAAAGTAAAGTATTGAGCAAAAAAAATAAATAAATGCAAATCTCCAAATCACAATTTGAAAACTAATTTTTGAGAAATAAAAATTTATTTTGCTAACAAAAATAAAGAACTGCAAAGGGAAACGTTTTTTTGAGGGAGAAAAATGAAATTTGCTAACAAAAAAAGAACTGCAAATAAAAATGAAGCAGTGCAAAAAAACTAAAATATTTGCTATTAAAAAAACAAATATATATATATATATATATATATATATATATATATTTGCAAACTTTTTTATGGCATTGCCTCTACAAAACCTGTCCAGTCAATTGCAATTCCCTGACCTAAAGGGCTGTAAAGGCTGATTTATACTTCTGCATCAAACACATGCGTATGCTCTGGTGCAGCCTGCGCGTGGTTGCATAGCCCTCGCCGTGGCCGACACTGCTGCGCACCTCTCAAAAAATTTAACTACACGTTGCAAGGACGCGTAGCACAAACTCTGTGATTGGTGAGCTTTGTAGCGCTGACGAGTGTGGGCAGGACCGAGAGTCGCACGAACCTATTGGAGCCAGTGTTTACAAGTGTTGAGTCCTGTGAAAGAGCTTCATTTGGAAAGTTTTGTTTTGTGTTTACCTTATGATTAATATTGCATGTCCGCCGGTTTCCGTCTCAAAATGAGCGAGTTTGAGCCACTTGTACATTAAGGCGGCGTTCAGAAAAAAACAACACCAGCAAAGAATCTCAGCACAGAGGAACATAAAAACCTACTGCCAGCTAGTGTTTCGAAAGTGTAATTGCAAAGCAACATAAATAGCACGCATGCAGAAGTATAAATGCACAGCATCGCTCAAGGCATGCGCCGTGGGTCATGCGGATCACTCGATGCAGATGTATAAACCAAGCTTTAGACCACCTCAGTGATACTGTCTCCAGGGCCCGGTTTTTCAAAAGTAATCCA